ATATGTCAAAAATTTTCGTAATAATAATATAAAACAATAACCTTACCATTATTTTTCAAAAATAACGTGGGTCGAAAAATCTTTGTTTCATTTCCAGATCTTTCCATATTTTTCAGAAATCTAATTATAAATAAAATTACTATAAATAAAAACGAATCACATGCGTATATGTATGTCCATAAGCGTTAAATCGCTTTTAAAAATGGACAAAGTTGTAGAGAATAACATTTTCTGTTTATTTTGAATATTTTTTTAATACTAAAATTAAAAAAAATTTTTTTTACTACTAAAAAGATATAAAAAAAAAATGTTAGGCGCTCCAATAATTGAAAAATTCAGTTCCCAAGTCTGGATAATAATTAGTTTACTTGACATGTTTTCGTGTCAGGAGGCTGTAGGGCTTCCACAGCTTTTGTAGCAATGTCAAAGTATCGAACACATCATTCGAGGCACTGGGCAGGGATCTAGCAACAATTGTTAGCTGATTATCAGCAGAAGCACTCCAGCCGAGCTCTTCACTCCACTTTAGCTGTCTATCCCGGGTCCTGCTGTCAGTATCCCAGCATCTCCATTTGTCTGCAGCTCGAGTGGATTGGGTGTCGCTATGGGCATCGGGATACTAAAGTGTGGCCCCGTCGATTCGAGTGCGTTTCATTGCTACTTCAGCGTGTATTTTTGCAGGAAATTAAATCCATTCAACGCCACAGATGGAAAGGCGTCGGTTGCAGCCGTTCGTTGCTGTCGGTCGATGTTTAATCAGCATTTAACGTAAGCGGATTTATGTGGGAGCCACCAGCAGTTGTAGCCAGGAGGTGCTCCCTTAACTTGGCTTTGGACTTTGGGTGGAAAATACATACAAGCGTACGTAAACAGTACCTGTACGGAACTTCGGCGTGCATTTCATTTGCACGTGGGTGGCACGCTTGCGACAAGCCGTCTCCTGGTCACCTGGTGAACTGGTCACCTCGTCCCCACATCAGACACAGCTCCAATAATGCCTTCTATATCCGGCCCAACTGGACGGCTTCAGATGAGTAATTGACTCGTTATTTCGTGACGTGGTGAGAAGATTTAGGTTGCAATATCTGATAACCCCGGGCCAAATGGCTCGCCTGTCCCGCCTTTGAACCGAAATCAAACCAAATCAATAATGCATTTTAGATGAACAGCGCTTTTAGTTGACGCCTCTTTGGCCAGAAATCCAATTATCAGTCCATGCAAATGCGGCGGCGGGTCCGAGGGCAGCGGCGGTGTCAACATGTTATTATTGACAAATAGAAATGTCAAAATGAAAAATTAAATGAAAATCGATAAGGGAGGGCGGTGGCGGCAAATCAGATAGCTGCAACCAGCGAGCGACAATTGAAAATGTCAAAATTCACGAGCACAAAAAAGTGTCGATGTAAAAGCCATCTTCACTCCTATCATACACAAGGAAAAAATGCAAATTCCAAATTGTGACATGCACTTTGTGACCATAGACTGTAACTCAGATATCGAATTCAGAGTGATTGATATCTCCCGACTTCCGGGAATATTGATTTTTAACATTGAAATAGCTATTAAAAAATATTCAAACAAATCCATCGATATATTTATTATTCATTACATTGTTACATTGGACATTGTTACATTCTTTTGCTTTTCCTGATTAAATATATGTACGTGTCCTATCTAATTAAATGTTATTTTTCATTGAGCCAATTAAAAACTTAATTTGGTTCCATTTGGAGTTCCAGACCATTTTGGTTCTTTATCATTAAAACACCAATAAAAACTTATTTCCACTCCCAATTATCTACTGAATTATCTTTGGGTTGGGGTTGATCAACAGGACTAGAATTAGAAGTCAAATATTCCTGGACACTTTTCCTTATTTTAATACATTTAAAAGGAGCTCCTTTTCAATTTTTATTTTCATTTTCATTACGAACCTATTTCCATTATTGTTATGGTGAGGGAACTAACAAAAACAAAACCAAAAAAAGCGTCGAATCCTTCTTCGTGTCTTGGTAAAAAGTCGGATAAATATGTTCACCAGAACCACTGCCTTTTTTAATTAATATTTATTGGTATTAACACATATATTAGCTAATATTATAGGTATACTTGTAGAATTTTATTAAAATTTTTTTAAGTGAGCCTGAAGTGGCTTGAAATAGCGAACTGGGCGTTTGGGACTGCACCCCGTTTGCCAGACCGGACCAGTCCATGCTGCATGTTGCACGAGTCGGGCAGGCGAAACGGTCAGCCGTATTGACACACCAACATCAGCAGAAAAAGGCGCTCCAGCAGACACCAACAACGCAGCAACAACTACCACTTTGGTGGCACTGCTGTCATCGATGGCCACCGATTGCCGACACTCAAACATCGCGACATTTGAATGTGAATGCCGCTGGTTTGGTTGGCAATCTGCACGTTGGCGTTGTTGCATTGACCACTTGATAAATGATAAATTAATTGAGTATTGCCAAATGGCATAGTTTGGCCCATAGAACGGCCCGGTGTATGAATAAACAAAATCAAAGGCAGAGTTCTGATATAAACAAGCCTTTTTTAAACACAGAGAATGGTTCCGATTCCAAATATCGCGGAAACATGCAAACAAATATTAAGAATCTATAATTTAGTGATTCAATCCAAAGCAAAAATTAGATGTTATATATACTGAGTATTATGGGTTCATAAAAACGATTAAGACCTTCTTTCTATAATTTGCATTTCTATAGATCAAACTTTCTTAAGGAGATGGATAAACAGTCCGTGTATCAGAGTGTATTTACTATCTTGACCCTTTTTGTGAGACATGGGACAAGACCTTTTGTGACAAACTAAATTTCTGGCATCGGCAGTAGAGTAAGCATCGAAAATAACTGATGAATAAGTCGAGTATTGAGTACCGTAAGAGTTCGTTTGTACAAATGTGCAACCTAAACTGGAAATGAATTGGTCAGAAATGGAGAGTTGCTGAATAAAAACGTTGATAGACAAATATTGGCATAACACTTGATGTGTTAACAGTAATGCCAAAGAAACAAAATCTAAAGCACAAGCTGCATCATAGACTCTCCAAATTGTTAGATCCACACAGATACTCACTCACTTATGTGTTTGGCCAAATGCTGAAAATCCAACCAGCAGAAGCTAAAACAGCAGCAACATCCACAGGAAGAACATCAGTTGCTGAAACGGCATGAGTAACCTGCTAAGTGTTGCTTATTTTCACTGAGAAAATAAAATCAACAGAAATGGTAAATTGTTTAATTGAATTTACCGCAGATGCGCTTAAGTGGCTAGTAATTTAGCAACGGCATCCATTCGTTTTCCCATCTATACGTCTGACGATGTCTCTGTATCTGTGTCTGTAACGTTGCTGCGTGCTCATATGTATTTGTCTCAGAATCTGTATCTGAATTTGTATCTGTAAATCTGCCTGGGTCTGGGTCTGGGGTTACGTCTGTGTATCTGTATCCGTATCCGTAACGTATCTGCTAGGAGACGTGTCCGACGCTCCAGCGCATGAGCTTGATTGTTGTCGCTGTACAAATAGAGCAACAACGAGGCACAATGACAGCAACTACTAAGATACATAAGCATGCCAGAGTTGCGGTGAAATGAAATGTGGCTTCCAGCTCCAGCCTGGCCAGTTGTGTGCATCTTGGAGCTGGTGTGTCGTTGGCCGTGTGTTCTGTTCCTGTAACTATGCATTAAATTAAAAACGGCAAAGAAAGTGCTCCGCAAACGCCAGTTGCTGGTCGCTTGAATGGCAGCTGTAAGCTGATTCTAGATTTCTCCCAGGCCCAATTACGCTGCTGTCTGCTAGCGAGCTTTCTCAATTGGTGAGCTTTATGGCCACATCGTTGCTCAATGCCCGATAATGCTGTTGATATTTAAAACGCCTGCAAGGGACACAACCTCTTGACTGGATGTCAGAGTTCGGCGCGATTTGCATGACAAGAGTTGCGCCATCTTGACTGCTTCGTAATTTTAACTAATTGGTTGGCAACACATACATAGTTTCCTTGGCATTATCACACCGAAAAAAACTGTGAAGTTAGATAGATTTATAAGGAAAAAACTTTAACCGAACAACTTTCGTATTCGTGTATTCGTATATTCGTGTACATACTTATATATATTTCGATACTCTATCTCCTTTCACTCGTGAAAGAGTGGTATATATTCTTGATCAGGATCACCTCCTGAGTTGATATAAGCATCTCCGTCTGTATGTCTGTTTCTACGCAAACTAGTCTCTCAGTTTTAAAGCTAACGACTTGAAACTTTGCACCCACTCTTCTTTTTTTTTGTTCGCAGTATATAAGTCGGAACGGCCAAGATCGGCCGACTATATCCTTTAGCTGCCATATAACTTAGCTGCCATATAACTCCGCCCGAAGTTAGCTTACTTTGCTTGTTTATTGTAATAAATTGGTTTTATTATGATATTATCAAGGATATATAAGGATCGGCGAACTATATCCGATTTCTGCGGGCCCGCCCGAAGTTAGCATTCCTTTCTTGTTAACATATAAACTAGAAAGATTCTATTGGGGAATACCCCCTCCCCCCCCAAACAGTAATATTAAAAGGTTGTAACTTATTAAAATATAAAATATACATCCCTTTAAATATGGGATGTACATTCATACATACATATATGCTTTTGTGAATGTTGTCCAAGGTTTCAACAGAACTGCGCTTGGGCCCGTCTGTTCGACCCACCTTTCGTGAAACGCTCTCTTGGCTAAGAGCGATGCGGCGCAGTCGCGATCGTCAACCACTCTTTTCGATCGCCAGACAGTGCTCTCTTGCGTGCCCTCGCTCTCTCGCTCTTGACGCTCTCGGCCCCGTCATCTTGACCATTTTTGTTACTGGCTGGGGAGAGCGGGGCTCCCCAGTTCGAACTCCGCAGAGTCTACTTTTCTTTCGTTGCCAACTTCTTGGACTTTCTTAGCTATATGCTTAAAAGTCTTTTGGAAGCGCCGACCCAGCAATCAGTTAGCTGCAAGCGCTTTTGGCGTCTGGTGTGGTGTAACGGAGACTCTAGTGCTAACACAAAAACGGAAAATCGACGACTGAAGGACTGAAGGAATCCGGCCGTATTTGCTTTGTGCGGCCATAAGCCGACTTATTTAAGTGACCAGCTCCGTTTAATAAAAGTTTCGTTGAGAGAAAACACACAGACCGCATCGAAGTTGAATTGATTTGCGCGCAACCGAAAAGCAGTATTCATATGCAACGCGCGCGACAAGCCATTCGGTTCATCCTCCCGGTTCCAGTGCCCTACTCATCCTTGCCACTGCCGTGTTGCCGTGTTGCCGTCCTGCCGTATTGTTTATGGATTTGCTGTTTTTGGGAGCGGCGACTCTCCTCTAACACGTCAACAGGTAAGCCTGGATTCAGCCGGGATTAACTTTGCTTAAACTGCTGCAACAACTAAAGTGACAGATGACAACTGGGGAGTCGGGAGAGGGGTGGAGACGGGGCGAAATTCCGACAGATCCCAGCGCGTCCTGGCCCGCAGTCGCATCCTGATGCAGTGGAGTGCAGACAAAGCGGATTACCATGGAATTGTTTAATGGCTTTAAAGCGCTTATCGCAGCGAAAGTGTCGTGTGTATGTACCCCTCCGCATATTCATATCCAAGGCATCGGCATTGGCATTGGTTGGCCAGCGTAATTGGCCAGCAGATCGCAGAAGCCGCCCGGGAAAAGAACACAGACCGGCAGGCGAAGAGTGCTGTGAAAACTTGTATTTAATTAAGAAATAGTGGTAGAGGCTATGGCTTTGGCTGTAGCTGTGCCAGGCCAAGTCAGAGAAACCAAGCCATAGAACATAGAACGAACAACAGCGGCAGCAACAACAAGTGCAGCAAAAACAAGTACCACACACACTGCCACCGCACGGGAGCAAGCACGACGGACTGGCAGCCACACACGTGTAACTGGAAACAAGTTGAATTTCCTCGACTACATTTGGTAAAGTTTACATGAGGCAACGGCCAGAGACAACAGCTCTTTCCCGAGAACCCAGAGTCCCAGCTTCGGCCGAAACGCTCCAAGACTTTATGGGTTGGCTGTTGGTGTGGTGGCGAGACGGCGCAGTTGGCCTAGAAGGTTGTTAGACTGTGAGGCTGCGGGGCAATGTGATTTTAATGAACTACTAAAACGGCATGCCAAAGCCAAAACAAACGTAAACAAACTTGACTCCCGCCTCAGATTGCATTATGGCTGCCACATGCAGCAGCAACAGTTGGAAGATCCCAGGTCCCTGGGCCCAGAACCCAGAACCCAGATCCCAGCAATCTGTACAATATTAATGCAAGCATTAGCAGGCGCCGAGCCGAGGCGTCCCACACCCTCATCCCCCACCCATTCGTTCGGAGTCCGTTTGTTACTGTGCATTTCGGCCGGAGTTCGGCCTCAGCCTGGTTAGTGGCAACTTAAGCTGACAGCAACGCAGAGCGGCGAGCAGTTTGAGTTACTTTCTACCAGCATTCTTTGGCTAAGACCCCAGTGCCCACCCCTCATCACGCCCCTCACCACAGGCAGTGGATGGCTGAGATTAGTGCAGTTACTGCAGTTGCATCCACAGTTGCCGTTGTTCTTATTGCGGTTTCTGTTACTGTTGCGGTAAATAAATAAAGCAGCGTGACTTCACGGTTCAACCTCATCCAGAGTCTCAGTCTCAGCCTCGGAGATGCTGTTGCTTTAGCTCTGGCTTTGCTTTGCTTTTCGCTGGCTTTGGCTGTACCCGTGGCGGAGTGGCAGCCGGTAGATTGCGTTGCAACAACAGCATCGTTGTCGGCTGACTGGTACAAATGGATTCAAAATTATAGATGCGTTCCACGCTGCCATTCAGCCCACTTCCTTCGGGCCAAGCCCGGACCATCTAGAAAGCGTGAATTAACAAAGCCCCAAATTAGAGACAGAATACATCTTCCCATTAAGCAGATCGGGCCTGGACCGCACACGTTACTCGAAACGGGTGTGAGGTCGCTTACACATAATAATGCCTATGTAACCAGTAGTAACATTCCGGGTTTTTGTTTTCAGTAAGAGGGTCCTGGATTCTGTTCAATAAGATAATTTTTGGGAGCTGATGAGACAAGGCGGGCGTTGCATAAGCTCGTGATAAACTCGCACATATGTAAGAAACTTATGGCGAGCTAGCACGCCAACGCCATTAAAAGCTGCTGCATTTTAATTAATCAAGTTAACAAACAAAGCAGTTGCAGTTGCGGCAGATGCATCATCTGTCAACAACAATGTGCGCCGCAAACTAATTACACGGCTCTTCGCGGCCAGGGCGTATGAGGGCGCTGGGGGAGGGTGCAAAGTCGGGCGGTAAGCCCAAAAACCCAAATCCCAATTGAAGCCACCACACATCATCATTGTTCAAAACTGCGGAGGTCTGGCTCTGCATATGCGATATTACAAATTAGATTTCTGTTAATTTTTGACAGAAAAACTTTGAGGAAACAAAAGAAGCTATTATTAGCCTCTACTGGGTACTGAATCCTGGATGGTAAACATTTTTGTAAGAAAATTACTTGAGAGTCTGTGCTTCTGAGCCAGGATGGGCTGCGTAGATTGATTGGTCTATCCGTGGTGTTACACACTCTCAGAAGGAGGAGGCGCCCCTGCTCCCCTGAAGAGCTAGGCATGTCCCAATGAATTCAAAACTTCAATTAATAGGCAAGGCGGCAGAAGTTTCCTCTAGCAACGATAAACAAATGGAAGCAACAAAATCCAAGCTCCGGGGCCAAGACAAACCATCGCAGTCGTATTTCCTCCGAAGACAAGTTTTGTGCCAACCAAAGTTCCTCCAAAACGGACTGGAGTGTCCTCGTTAGGTCTGCCCGGCGGAAGCAGCACTTAATAATAATTAAATAATTTTCGCCATTTATAGAGCCAGCACATAGAGCCAGCTTTTGAATGGGCTTGGCTTAGTCCTGCACTTGTATTTGCAGCGAGTCTATTTATCTTTCCCTTTCGTATTTCTTCTTCAGACTGTGTACATCTGCTGTGTGCTGCACTAATAAATAAGATTGCTTTTAATTAACAAAAAAATTGTGGCTGCCATCGAGTTGCTGGCAAAAGTTGCTCAATTTGCTTGCCTGGCCAAGTCGGTCTTGGCTTCGACCTCACAAGCCAGGATGTCTTTAGTTGCGTTTATGTCTTTAAGTCTAATGGGTGGAGAAACCGTGTCGTTTAGAACACTCGTATTTCCCTGATTTAATTGACACAAAAAAACTATTAAGCCGGGGAAAATATAATCTTCCATAAGCATAGTTAGTTAATCGCTTAAAGCATCGTTGTTGCGCCTCAGGTTCGCCATACATAGTCTTCAGTTAGTTGATATTCAAAAAGCCTAAGTTCTTAAGCGCAGGACCCTGCTATTTTGCACATAACCCGATCCAATGAAAGTCGGTTCTCAACTACCGAGGAAATTTGAAAGCATTTGAAAGTTTTTGACGCTGGTTGCCGTGAATTTGGCTTTGCCTTCGCCTTTACACAAGACAGCTGCAGTTGGTTTCTGGGCCATGGAGGCAGGCGGAGTGGAGGTACACTGGAGGTGCAAACTGCCGTAACTGCAGAGGCTTCAACGTCATCACCTGACGTTGACTCGGGGACCCGGGCCGTTACGAACACACTCGGCGGCTTTCTGGCACATGTCATGGGAACTAGAAGTAAGGCGGCCAAAGTTGGGAAACCGTGGGAGTGAAATACTTTACTTTGTTCGGGCAAATTCATTAATAAGCTTTTTTTACATTCGCTCCTCCGCATCTCCGCAAGTTTTCGAGCATTTTCCACACGACTTTTAATTCAGAAATACAACTCAAAGCTCGACTGCTCATATGCGAGTGGATGATCGGACGCAGGCAGGCGTTCTGAGAATCGCGTGTGCCGCCAAGAGCTTCTTCTGATGGAAACGGAATCTGGGCCCAGACACGAGCACTTCTATTTGCCAACCAATAACAATTTCATTTGACTAGCAGTGGAATGGCGTATGAATTATTCCATGCATATCTGTGTTAATATTATGCCAGTCGCAGTTGTCGGTGAGCCTAACCCTTTTCAGGGACCACACAGGAAGGGTCGGATGACTTTGAACTTTTGACACATTTGGCAGTCGGCTGTCATAGTTCACCAGGGGTAATAGGTCACTTGGGAATTCATGTTTGCTTGGCTGATTCCATCCTATGCTTTTCGACTACATAAATTCTTTATGGTCGAATTTCGGGACTTGACCCTTGGCCATGTCATGGGAACTGGACAGAGAGCTATGCAAACAGACAGACAGATTGAGGCTGCATTTGGTAATGTTTACTGGCCCTGTTGGGGTTGGGGACGACCTTCGATTGGGGACTATTTAAGTTGGCTGTGTTATTACGTCTAATTAAGGGGCTTATTCAGTGCCGCTGCCACAAGCCGCATCGAGCCAACTCTGAATCAATGCGCGGACTCAAAATTGTTTGGCTGAATGCCGCAATTTATGTCGGATCACATTAGCGGGAAAAAGGTGTAGCATATTTTTCCCATTATGATATTGCTTTACAATGACACATTAAAAACAACAATTGCTCGTCCCAGTCCAGTGGCTTTGAACACTGTTTTTGCCATTTCTTTATCAAAGTTTACGCAATCACTTTCACGAAATACAAATTGAATTGCCAATGAGTTGCCATTGTCATTGGCAGGGCCAATGCTTGACAAAAAAACAGAATCATAATGGAAAAGGGCAATTTATAATTGTGAAATTTCCCCTCAACCTTGTAGCAATGCAACCATGAAGCCGTGTTGCATTTAAGGCCACAATTGGGAAATTACCGGGCCGCGTCAAAGATAGCACTCAGCTTATCTGGCATGATTAATTTGCCGACCCTTTGAGCGATCGCTTAGAACTGGCCGTCTGTCCATCCGTCCACCCGGCCATCCGACCATCTGACCATCGCATTCATGAGCTGGTCAATCAGCACTTAAGAGCTTTCCCTCGCGGATGCCAACAATATTCTCATATTCTCTTGCCGGCAGTACCCGGCAACGACCATAATCCATTAGAAAAAGTAGCAAATTATGATTTATTGCACTTGCTCCGAAGAAAGGAAAAATTCATGAAAGCCACAAAGTGGAGAAGCGCTGCAGAGAGTGCTTCGCAAAAGTAAGAGGAGCTTGGACTCGGGACTAGGTGGTCGGGTGGGACTGTAAAGGATGGAGGATTGGCCCATAAAAGCAAAAACTTCTAAGTAGTATACGAAAATGTAAAACTCTTGTAATGAGGGTGCACTCCTTCCACTCGGGGCCACTTGCAGCCACTCCACTTCCATATTTTTGCGGCCCTAAAGTTTGGTTTCGGTGTATTAGGTAGCCGCCTTGAAGTCGTC